CAGTATGACGCCATCAACCCCAGTATGACGCCATCAACCCAAGTATGACACCATCAACCCAAGTATGACACCATCAACCCCAGTATGACACCATCAACCCCAGTATGACACCATCAACCCCAGTATGACACCATCAACCCCAGTATGACACCATCAACCCCAGTATGACACCATCAACCCCAGTATGACATCATCAACCCCAGTATGTCATCATCAACCCCAGTCTGACATCAACAATCCCACTATGATACAATCAACCCCAGTCTGACATCAACAATCCCACTATGATACAATCAACCCCAGTATGACATCATCAACCCCAGTATGACATCATCAACCCCAGTATGACATCATCAACCCCAGTATGACATCATCAACCCCAGTATGTCACCATCAACCCCAGTATATCATCATCAACCCTAGTATGACATCATCAACCCTAGTATGACATCATCAACCCTAGTATGACATCAACCCCAGTATGACATCATCAACCCCAGTATGATACAATCAAACCCAGTATGCTACAATCAACCCCAGTATGACACCATCAACCCTAATATGACATCAACAATCCCACTATGATACAATCAACTCCAGTATGATACAATCAACCCCAGTATGACATCATCAAATGGGGGTATGACATAAATTCAAGTATGTCAGGGCTATCACATTAATGTACTGTGCTTCCTATTAGCAATGACATAGGAGTTTTATGGCAATGTGAAAAACCTACCAATTTCCCTAGGATTTGGAAACGTATAGTGTTCTCTACGAAGACTTGTAAATAATGTATCCTCAAAGTTTCTTTTTGGCAGTGGAATATCATCCATTGATAACATACTTGCAGGCATAGGTGAGGGAGGGGGGTGTAAAACATGCACATCATCTCTATTGTTCGGATGGATGTTGATACCACCCACTTCCTCCACTAAGGTTTGATAAGCACATCTCTCGCCCTGCAATAAAAGCTGATAATAATACTCACAGTAATTTGATATACAAAATGAGTCTGTATGTTCTTGTCTGTCTGTGCCCCCCCCCCCCAATGATCCATTGTGTTAGGATATTGAGATGTAATGTCTGTATTAAAAAGTTTGGAATGGCCCTCCTTCTCTCTTTCTCTAAAAAGAAAGTCAGAAGTTATGCGATTCTGAGTGTGTGAATTCACTGAGTGTGCAAACAATTAGAAAATTCTCCATGAATCCTAGCAGCCTCACCCCAGTAGAAAACAATCTCCAATTTCTGTAATCAGCAACTGTTTTCTCAAGTTTTTGTTTCCAATATTTTCCTTCTAGCACATCGGCCTGTTGCTGAAATAGAAAAACCAACAAACATGTCAGTGAATGCAGTCGTACATTTCAGAACTCCAACACTGAGACTCGGTCAGTTCTAATCTGTTATATAATCGTACAAGCTCCATTAGAAGCACATGTGCTTTTATGAATGCCTGACGATATACTAGTAGTTAACATTCTTTATTCTTCAAAAAATGATACGGTAAATTGGGATGCACTTGCAATTCTTTTCTCATTAGGTTTTCCATTACACTCCCAACATACTCAAAATAACCAACAACGAAAGTACAAAGACAGTAAACACATTCAAATACCATTAATACTGTCAGGGGTATCTTTCACATCCCATAATATATCTATCACTTATTCTTAAAATGCGAAATACCAACCCTGGTTTGAAATTGATCCCACACATTTCATAGCACGATGGTTTGAAGTACTGGTACTTACTTACAAGATCATGTACATTCAGAATGCTGCCACCACAACCCACCCCAAATGTTGTTGGTTTCAATGACACAAAAAATAATGATTGAGCACACAGGAAAAATCAGTGACACCATTTGTATTTTTAATAAAATGAGCCAAAATCCAGTTGTTTCTAGACATAACACCGACTGGTATAATGTAGTCCTTATTTTTATAAACATGGTTGATGTTGATTACTCTATGGACGCAAGAAGTCACACTAGTGGCCATTGATTCTTATTCATGAAATATTATACTGACTGTGAAGCAGATTTCACTGGCAACCCAAAAACTATAATTAGTCTAAATATGCACAGGTTTTATTAATTTCTTAATACTGGTAGGAGCGATTGTATACTGTTTAATTTTCACTGACTCTTGTGAAATTAAAGCGTTTTTCAATACAAATTTTGATGTAAACATTGGCCATGTCAACCTCTTCCAACAGAGTTAAATTTTCATATGTGTTCATATTTGAGATACCAAGAATTTAATGATTTTTTGAAGGGATTTGCCAACAAATAGGTACCAACATCACACTTGGAAGTTAAAATGCCAATTATATGTAACTGACAAGATTTACATGAAAATGTTTATTTCCAACACATTACTAAAAATTCCACTCACATATAAAAGTTAAACCAAAATAAGCTGAGAGTGATTAATAGATTGATAGCGAACAAAGCTGTTGAGAACACATTGAAATATTGATAACCTTTGTACAGAGGTTATCACATGACCTTTTCACCCAAGAGAATATTGACAGCCGCTCTAAAGACATTTTGGAATCCAACGTCACAATCAGAAATTATTCTTTTGTGTATACGTGTCAAATCATTTACCAATCAAGTTCACATGACAGGGTCGCAAAAATGTCCCACCTGTTAAATCAGTAAAGGCATGAATAGAGGACATCTCTATTCTTTTCAACAATTGCAACCTGTTGATAGCTGCCTGTCAACACGCAATACTGCATGATACACAAATCAGCTTTTGTTGTCGTCTTCGAGAAAACCAGCTGGAGTGAAATAGCGCCCTCTATAGTATTATGCATATAAGGTACATGTCAGAGGCAACTATGGCTTTTTTGTTAAGTCAATTAGTATTAAGATTGGGAAGTATTACCAACATTATTTGTGACATTGTATTTCTCTAAATTTAATAATATTTCCATAGAGATTACTACATGTATGTCATTATTTGGGAAGTTTCCATTTTTATGATTATTGTTGTTACCGGTAACTACACAAACCAGTTTCTCAATTGTACATGTTTTGACAACTTTTCATTTCAAAATGGCCACTATAGTAGGGCTTCATGCTATCACAAAATAACAAAAGTCATTTTGCAAAGAAAACAAGTTCAAGGACCCCCATTTTTTTTTAGCTAATTCCCATTGTGTGATGGAACCAGGTAGTGGGGTATTGTTAGGTAGCTGCGTCTAACCTTAAAGCTGTGTACATGCAACATTGCAATACAATGTACGTGTCAAATCCACAACTCATTACAATGATGGAGAGCTAGCTGGTTGATACAAATGGATTTTTTTAAACATTTACTACTCACTTTACCATTAACTAAACTCACTACCGTAATTTAAATTAAAAACCCAGAGAATATGCAGTTGACCATACATATGGTTTCTTTCACAAACAAGTGAAATTACAAGTATATAAATATCCTGCAAAATCAAAACTGCTAAAATTAATTTACTCATGTTTTACATTTTTATTACCGGTAAAGTTGACTTTGAGCTACAATCTAAACCAGTGACATTTGTCGATTTATATTTTGAATAAAAGTAATTAGATTCCTTGACAATGGCAATGCCAGGAAACAATTTATTGCTAATATATGTGAAACATCTTTTAAACTCAGATTTTTGAAATTGAACTGTTCAGAATTATTAGACATTCACAAATCATTTATTTATTAGAGGAAAAATTAAAAAATTATTATAATATGACAACAGTGAATGCTCATCTGAATTATTTATGTTTGATTCAGACGTGATTTTGCGACTTTTCAACTTCCAAGGAGTTAATGAAAAAATATAAAATGCAGCTTGATGGGCTGGGAATTGATTGTAAAGACAACAAGTTATTGACACAAAAAAAAACTGAAATCAGTAAGATATTTTGAGTAAGAACTTGGCATGAAGTATAATGTATGTATGTGTAAAGTTTGGGAATGCTGGAAATGGGAATTTTGATAATTTCTTGTTGAATTTTATAAAGTTTTAAAACTAAAATAGCCAGCATCTTGAATCAAATCACTTAATAAATGTATGTACATTATGTATCCCATGATGCATTGGTGTAGTTTGACTGATCAGTCCAGGCATGTCAGAGATACAGGTGCAAAAGGACCGGCTGGCGTAGCCAGGCACAAAACACACGTGAATGTATGTATGCATACACGCAGAGGTAAAATTACAAGTCCCCTCGAATGGGAACTAATAAATTGATCAATATGGTAACCTGTCAGCAACCTTTGATCAGATTGTAAAACGAAATGGTTCATAGTAAGCTTGCCTTTGTACCAAATTTGCACCAAATCTTCTGATTCATAAGAATAAACAGGTGTATTTCAGATTGAGCATTGAAATTGGACTATAAAGGAACCCCACTCATCTCCGCACACTTAACACATGTCTGCTGACTTCTTTTTTTTTACATTGATTTCGGTATGGTTGTGAAGCTTTCAGCTGTCAATTTATATTGTATTCACTTATTGAAGTCAATTTTTTTATTTTTTAAAAATTTATATACACATTGTAAGCCTCAGTGCATATGTCCCGTCCTCCATTAATCCACTCCAATTTGCATTGTACCGCTGCCAAACTTTTAAGTGAGTGCACTACCTCAGTAAGGCCAAGTAAAAAATATTTACATCCTCACTCTTGTCGTAAAATAAATGATTTTTTTTATGTCATTCATTATTATCTCAAATCCTAGCAACTGTTCAACTATTGAACGCCTATTAACATAATCTCCCAACCACTATAACTGCTGACATTTTGAAAGATAGTTTCTACTCTGAATTCATATCACTGTAAAAGTTATTCTATTCTATTCTACTCAACTTAATTCCAACTCAGTGGAGATGATAACTGTATTTCACAGCTACACACTCATTGACACGTACACACATTCATAAGATTTTAATATCAGTAAAGACCATATTTATTTAAAAGATATACAATTTATGCCAACCCCCCCATCATGAGTTCTGGGCCCCCTAACATCGCAAGAAAAGTCAAACAATTCAATAATACCATGCAGACTGAAGTTGAAAAGTTCACTGGTTGTTTGAAATGTATAATTTTATGATAAGTGAACAATAATATGTACCTTTCCCGACAATAATAAATGATATGCAAGTCAATAATTTGGTTAAAAATTAATAAAGATACTATAATATATGCGAAATGTTGCATTAATATTTGGGGAGGATTTATCAGAGGTGAAATATCACTGCACATATAGGGGGGGGGGGGTGCAAGGGTTATTTTCGTTCAACGTTAATTGAAAAAATAAATTCCGTAATTTTGTAATCACAGGCTAGACGTACAACATAATCAATCAAATATTTTTTCGTACACTGTGAAAATGTGTCATTTTTTCCTGTACGTACAAGAATTTTTTAGGTTTTCTTTTTTAATTTTCTCTGTAAACATTCAATTTTCACTGTTAACTGTTAAAACATCTTTTTTTTCCTTGTAAATTGTAAAAAGCCCTTATTATTGCCCGTACCAGCTACCCCCTTGCCCCCCTCTAAAAAGCCTCTGAGATCTAATAGAAAAAATGGGATGTGAAATTACGATTGGCGAAATCCCTCGCCTTAATTTCTGTAGAGAACACACACAAATGTTAACCCATTGCTGGAAAGCCTACATTTATAGTTGAAGTGATTGCATAAAAACAGCATCAGAAAGCAAGTGTGAATGAACCTTGTTCAACTGATAAGTATGTATACCTAAGTCATCCGAGTAGGTCATGGCATGTTGGGAAAAGGTCAAATACGTAAGAATTCAACAGAATTAGAAATGCTACATGCTTGAACTTAGATAGATAATGAAACATGTTACAGCAGGCAATCAAAATATTAACCTTTTGAAAGCCCAAGGTCAACTTCTGTCATGATTATAAATAGAACCCACATAATTTTATGAATATTTTTTGAACAATTTAGATCAAGATCTGTAGCCAATGCACAGTTATGTTTATTTGGTCCAAAATTAAGAAAGAATTTCAAGAAAAATACATAAAACTGTAGAAAAAGTTGAACCTAACTTTGTGCAGGAAAATTGTTCAATTTTTCTGAACTAAAATATAGAACCATTCACAGCTGCATTAAATATTTGTGGTAAGAGTAAAAAAAATTAGTATACTACAGTGTCAGAGCTTGGGAGGTCAATCGACACAGTTTAACGCCAAGCAGCTGCAAGTTGAATGTGATTTACTTTTAAGCGGCTTTTTCAAAACAAGCTTTTCACCCCCAAAATATGTTAAAAATTTCAACTGGTACGTTAATTCTTTGGTTTGAAACCATAAATATAACACAGAACATGTTAATTCCGAGGTTGGTTCACCACTGTCCACAGCAGGTAGACATTTTAATTTTATGTATGCTGTCCCACGAAACGTATTGTGTGCATGCACATACAATTTACTGCATCACAATCAGATGAGTGCATTCTGGGTAATGGTAAACCCCTTGGCGCGAAAAAATAAACAAATAAAAAAAAAGAAGAAAAAATTGAAAGAGATAGTAAAATCACAAATTCCAGAAGCTTTTTTTTTAAAGCTCTCAGAAACTAATTACCATAATCATATTTCACACACTATCATAAAACCAAATATCAACTCACCCACGATATCCGGGTAACATGTTCATCTGTCAATGGGGCTACAAACTGTCCAACAATCGGGTCTTTCTTCTCTATAACTGTTGAAAATGAAAGAAATTATTATTTGATTATGTCTAAATGTTTTACAGATTTTTATTCCCCCTCCCAACCGAAATTTTTAAGTATTGATGACATCCAAAGCTGTGGTTGAAGTTTTCATTGGAATATGCACAGATTTAAAAACTAAACTAATCAGGTCTGTGGATTACCTCAAAGCATCAATGCACAAAGTTTCATTGTAATCAGATAATTGGTTCTTGGGTTTTCAGTAGAAACGACACATACATACACATACACGGATACACGGATACACACACTAACGATCAAAGCAGCATTGGCTAATAGAACAAGTCCATTTCCATACATAAAAAAATTCTAACACTACGGGGTTTCAATTCATAAAAATAAAATTTTAAATAATTTGAGTATAAGATAATAACTAACACTGTAGATGCCATGCTCTCCATATTCCGTTATTCAGTCGTAACTTTTCTTTCCACGTCAGTCGGGTATTACGAAATGGCTTGGGTCTTGGGGATACTAACTGTCTTCTGTAAATAAAACAATAAATAAGAGTTAAAAAGCTGTTATATACTACTAGTTAAATACTAATGATTTTTCATCCATGGGATATCTTATGATTAACTGAATGCTAGTGATATTCTCACCCAAATCTTTATTTATTTCAGATGACAGCATTTCTAACAATCAGCCTATTGGCTGAGATAACTCCGCTGCTAGCAATGCTCATTTCAATTAAAGAATTAAAGATATCATCACAAAATGAACAAATCTGAGAGCCGTCCCCCTGTATTGCCAATATGTTTAATATCAATGCAATCAGACTTGCGGTTTTTAACATGAAGTCAAAAATATCTAAAATATTCATCATAATTAGATAATTGAAGATAGCGCCACGAAATGAACAAATCAAAACGAGGTCTATCCGAGGTACATACTGTATACACCCATTATCAATGCAATCATGCTTGTAGTTTTCAAGAAAAAGTCCCAAAAAAAAAGATAAAAGTATCACATGTGCTTTATTACACGTATAAGAGATGAGGCGTTTTTTATGGGTCAAAATGCAGTATAAAATGCTGCTTATGTGAGCTATTGGAGATGCAATTCTAATGGATCAAACACTGTATTAAATGTTTGTATACAAATACAAAGATTTTAATGCATGATATTATGAAAATTAAACTTTCATAAAATTAAAGATTTCACTGCGTATTTTAATTAAATTAATGATTGAGAGCCCCATAGACTTGTACAGCATAATTAAATAGGGTAACGTCAGGCCACAGTAACACAGATTAAAGTTTCATAAATTTTAAATATAATATTTTATTTGATTACACATGTAAAATCAAAATGTCAAATTAAAAATGGATTTCTGTTGATGAAAAAAACAAAACGATAGACTAATATTGATATCAAGTAAAAGAGGCATGTGCTACATTACCGGTAGTCTCAAGGTGAAGTCAACCTTTAGGATGCATGTACACGTATACTATGTTGATGTAATTTATACGGCCTAGACAATCAAGAATCTGGCCTGGTTATAATTCAACGACTTGGTCATTATAGTGGAAAGGACAAAGTTTTTATCGGTATGTTTTTAGGTATCCTGACGCTGAATGCAATCAATAGAAGCGTATTTGAGAATACAAAGTACATTGTACTGTGAAAAAGACACTTGGACAACATGCCATAAAAGTACAGTGTATATGAATAGACTGAAATCCTTCATTATTCCTACACTACACACTACCAAGTACTACCGTTAACATTAAAGCGCAGTGGTTGTAGAGCAGCGCGTGTTCGAATTTCATGTAAATAAACAATGCATTTTACATGAGTTGTATTTGTCGCTATGAGTCCTATATCGAACAGGATGCGGCACAACAACTGCCGCCCTTTAAATAATGTGTGAACATCATATGTATGTGTAACTATGACAACACCTTAATCCAGCTTAGGTAATACAGACTACATGTGTCATACAGCTTCTAGATGAACCAAGGCGACACTTTTTTTTGTTTAAATCCAGATTTAAACATAAATACAAGATGTTATACTACACATTGTTTTCACAACATGTAAGTCAGTAAAGTAGCATCCTTGATAATTCAGCCCAATTACCAAAGCATGAAACTGAATTTGCCATACTGGAATGTACAGTATTCACTGGGTTTTAATTTAGCTTATTTCGCTGACTGGAAAATGTGCTAAATTAAAACCCAGTGAATATGTAAAATTGAGCATAGAACACATTATCTAAATGATAAAACCGTGAATTTAAAACCCATTGAATATGCCTGAAATGGTAAATCAGCAAAATTTAAATAAACCGAGTGAAAATTAGTCATTTTACAGTATTTATGCCAACATAAATGCTTTGATTAAACAACTGCTCTGTGCAGACTAATCAATAAATAATGTACAGTACAGCTATGTAGACAGTACTCAACTTGATGGGAAGCCAGATCTTATTTTAGGGATCTCCCATTACAGTATAATGGCCTGTAATAATTGCATCAGTATTTAATAGGTATGCACATGTACATGTATGTCAATACAAAACACAAATATCAAAGTCCTATTATATTAATTTCAAAAGAGATAATATTTTTTTAAATAAATCTACTTTTCAGATAGTATTCACACTTCGGCAAAGGTAAATGAGAGTCAGTAGAATAATTGGTGATTGTTTATACATTTACCATATAAACTTTACCCGCTGAATAATTTTCTCAATCAAAAATGTGGACACTGTTTTTTAAATTTTTTATATTTTATTTGTACTTTCTTTTTTTTAGACCAACTGGAGATAGTTTCCTATATTGGTTACATGTCTCCATAAATATTTGTTAATATGGTTCTGGTTTGAGTTGAAGAATTGACGCTATCAATCAATATGCATACATCTGCTTTCCAGTGATGTACTACAGCATGCTGTATTTGCTCTTATAGTAGCATGTGTGCTTGTGTAAATTAAAGATTTCTTTATGGTCAAAATAAGTGATATTTTAATGATTCAGTAAATAGAAAATCTTTGAGTTATATTCGCTTCTATTGGAGATGCGCCTCTGATAGAGCAAAAACGGTATACATAACAATGTACATGGCGGAGAGTAGTGTTTTTGATAACGCGTGGATGGTAGGTGGTGAACTGAACACTAACACTTCCCAGCTAACGCAAAGCTAAAGACTGTCTGTCTGTTGTGTACCACACTCAATTCCCTGTATGCATTCTGAATACATGTACATCCTTCAGAAAGAGAAACTCTGGTCAAGAATTAATCAGCTAAGTGAGATAGAATATGGAATCCATTGATCTGGAAATTCTGAGTGAAAAAAGGTACTCAGTTTAGATATGTACAGAATGGGTCGTTAGTGTGACCCCCCCCCCCCCCCCAAAAAAAGGTCATACATCCTGGTATTTTTATTGATGATAAAGAACAGTTTAATGTTGCAAATATTAGATTATAATACTGGAAATTATAATCCCCCAAAGTCCCAGGATGTGTGACCTTGTGGGGGTCATGAAGCCAGAAGATTTACATTTATAAACGTCACTCTCCAGATGGAGAAAACAAAATCTATAATAAGTATCATAAGACAAACAAATCTCATCTCAAATCCACTCAATTGTATATAATGAGGTTTTTAAAAATTATTATTTAATAAATTTGTGATTATAATAACTGTTTTTTGGAGCCATGTGATGTTCACCTGCATCGCACTGTTGGAAAACATGTGTGAACAGCTTAACCAGGTATCTAACCCGCTTAGTTTAACACAGAGTTAGGGGGTTGGTATTCCAGAGTTCCATGTTTAACCTCAAAATAAGACTTGGGTGATCAAGGTCTCAGGGTTAAAACAATGATCCAAGGTAGAGAAGGTATAGCAGATGTAATGGCTAAGTTAAATGTTAAATCACTGTGATGTATAAACAGAACACAGGTCTAGCCCTCTTACAACGTGATCTAGCCAATGTGCCCTCTAATACGACTGATTTTGTAGGGATTCCGAGTCAAAATGGAATCCCTAAAATCAAGTTGAGTGAGCCTTTTGACGCTGTAGAGGTTGGTCTTTGAGAAAAAAAAAAAATTTTATGCAACAGTATAGATTAATTCACGAACAAATTCTGTACGTTTTTTTACACATATTTTGTTCACAAAATGCGAATTTCATTCCATAACTATAGCAAGACGTTTTTCAAGACCACTATATTCATGTACGATTTTCTGTTTCAGTGACACAAGTGAATTAGCACTAGAACAGTTGTATTACAGTAAATCATTGGACATCAGTGGCGTGGCTTAGAGGACAGCTTGTGAAAACAAAGCTTTATATTCCCAGACACAAAATCTAAAGTTATGTACATGAACAAACTTTGACAATATGAGTGACATTCATACATGTACTACAGGTACCGGTAAGTACAAAAATGGCTATCAGGCGGTCATAACAGCGTTGGATCTAAAAGCTCATATGTATACCATTATGGCATGTTTTGTATCAAATTTGAACAAAATCTGTCCAGGCATGTTCGAGGGGGAACTAATAATAGTAACAAAATTGAAGTTGAGTTTGGCAATACAGAATACACCTGTTATATGATCCATGCTATTTACTTCAAGCCTCACTGATTCTATAGTTATTGTAACGGTCTCAAGGGTAAAGTGTCCCCACCAATGTATTTATCAAAAGCATTGTGCAAATCAACAATGACTTCTAGTTTATGAGTTGCACTGACTCAAGGTAATACTGGTGAGACAGCAAGTACGGGGAGTTCACATGTGAATACGCAAGGGACATGAACTGTGTCTAAGAACATCACAGTATGCGAGCCCAATAAAGATGGGATGGGCATGTATTATGTATGTATCTTGCCAACTATTCGACACTATTCAATGATCAAGTGGAACAGACACGCTTTATTTTCTAATCAGGATTTTTTAAATTAAACAGCCTTCAATGGAAGTCTATAATCCAAATGTTATTGCAATTTGATTGAAGCAATTTAAATACAGTGACTCCACAACAATATCAGAAGGAAATATTTAATTTAAAATAGATGAATCAGGCATGCATATAACCACTCAGTTTAATAATCAGACGTAGCATTTTGTCAGGTTTCACTGTGCAAGCTGTCTATAAACTGGAGATTGCATGGAAGTACATTTCAGTGTCTATACTATTTGAGTCTAGTCAGGAAACACAATGTCAGCTTCCTACAAGCAAGAACAATTGGTGTTTCAGTCCAGTCACAGTCAAAGCCAAACAAAACAATAACTACTTATTTTTAGCAGTAAAAATTATATGTGTATTACTTGCATCATCAGCCTTGTTTTTTCTTAATCTGTCGATATACTGTTTTCTAGCTTAAACTAAATAATCGCCCAACTTAGCCAGTATAACGTTTTTATAGCAAAAACACAGTACAGTACTTATTTTTAGCAGTAAAAATTATATGTGTATTACTTGCATCATCAGTCTTGTTTTTTCTTAATCTGTCGATATACTGTTTTCTAGCTTA